GTCATGTGCTCTGTGGAGGACTGAGCAGGTTGTTGTGGAATCCACCTTGGTCCTTATGAGCCAGAGTCCATCATGAGGCATTCACAGATCTTTTAACAGCTTTGTTGCAATTGGTATGCAGTTTTGTAGTTAGAAATCTTCTGAAAACGCCCTGCTTATTCCTCTCAGCCTCTGGGTGTGGATCATCTGCGTTTCTCCTCCTGCATCTGGGGGGTTGAGGCTGCTGAAATGCTATGACACCCGATTGCCTTCTCTAATCCCTCTTCACCGGTACCTTTTAACCTTTCTTGCTTGCTTTATGGAGACTGTGCTGGCACTGCAGATGCCTGCCCAGTTGGAAGGGGGTTGGAGAAGGGCCCAGTTTATACAGAAGAATTAGCGCTGCCATGAAACAGGCTAAAAATGGGTAATCACAGGGAACAGTCATGATCTTCGCTGTGCTTCTGTGCTTGAAGCAGTAAAATGATCCGTGTTCTTGCATGCAGGCTCATGATGCCCCTATTGCTTTAGCAACCGGTGAGCAATGCACCAGTGTTTTCCGCAGCTCCTTCGTCAGCTCGTCTCTTGTTCCAGTGAGCTCATCTGCAGTGTGGAGCAGGGCAGGGAGCACGTGCCCTTGAGATGGCTTTTCTCCTCTGGAGTAGGCTCTTGAAAGAGAATTCCCTGGACATTTTCGTGAGGAAAAAAAAGGAGGCAGATTACTCCTCTCTGAAGCTGAACTGCTTTGTTGTTTGGGAATGATGCTTTAATCAAAGAGCAATTTTAAATAGGAGAAGAGTATCCAGAGTTGTACCCAGTCCATCACCTTGTTCTCAGCTCATAAGCCACGTGTTCTGTGACAGTGTCAAGATGGAAATACGTTCCTGTATTTCACACATAGCTGTCATTCCTCACCTGCTCTGCAAAGCACAGCGGAGCGGTTGTCTCCGTTACTCCTGCTGTAGTTCTGTCAGGGTTTCAGCCCAACCCTGCTGGTGATGGCCACCACCACCTGCCGTTGACTGGAGCTTTCCCTTCCTGCCTTTTCCCCAGCTACTCACAAACACCAGACTGGTGGGTGCTCATGGGTCAAAAGCAGTTGCTTTTGCTACTTGTTTGTTGCTGAATTATATTTAACCCAACTCAGAGCTATGTTCCCGCTTGCTATGTGATCGCTTTTGGTGGCCCAACAGGGATGGGCAATGAGGAAGGCGAGAAGGCCTCATCCAGTCGCAGTGCTGGTTCAGCCTCAGGCTGTGTCTAGGACTGTGCTGTCAGTCCGTCCCTCGGCATGCCGTGGTGGTGAGTGTCTGGCTGAGTAATTAAAAAGGACTCAATTTCTATCACTTCACTGCTAATTCTAATAATGGTGAGAAACCTAAATGGCCATCTAATTGCTTTCTGTTAATGAACATTGTACGATACAGCCCTTTTTTTGATGGGGCTGCAGTGGTGGTGTCGACTCTGTGCTCCTGGCCGTTGAAGGGTGTTGTGTCCCCTGCCCGCGCGTCACTCGTGCATCACATCCACATCTTGGGTTTGCGTGGTCACGGGATTAGGACGCTGGGTTAGGGTTTGGGAGAAGTAATTATGACTGGAGCAGTCTGGTGCTTAATGCTGGTGCATTTATAATAATAACACTCCACCACCATGTCGGACTAAATGTTAAGTAGTTTGGTGTCATTTGATGCCTTGGAGAAGCCTTGGGTTCCGGTTTGGTTTTGCGTGGGACAAACTCATGAGTCAGGCTTGGCCATTCTGGGTGTCCCAGTGGTTTTTTTCCAGCCACGGTAAAGTTTTCCACCACAACAATTTCTCTGACAACCACTGCTTGTCCTTCATCTACCTTAGCAGTATCACCCGTTCGTGTTCTCTTTTATCTAATGCTCTCCTATGTTTTGTGCTGATTTACTCTGGGGAAATAAAGCCACAGTTTTTTCTTCGCTCTGGCATTTTTCTCCTGTTCCATCCTTGTTTATTTGTGTATGATACTTTCCTCGTAAGTGTGTCACTGCATTTTCCTGGAGGATTTCTGTTTGTAGCAGTTCTGCGGAGGGTTAATTCAAAGATTTTTTTTTTTTGCTTTTCTTTTTCTCCTGCCAAAGAGGATGGTGCTTAGCATCCCCCTTGTGTCCGTAGCTGCAGAGCTCTGGGTAAAGCTGGCCTTGCAACACCTGCGTAAGGTAGGTCAAGGTTGTTCTATAGGCTGGGGGGACATCTGGGAACAGGGTTCAAGAGGTACGGTAATCTGGCTAAAATCCTAAAGCTATCTTTGTAATAGAGGTGGAAATAGAACCTAGAGGTGGAGCTGCAGCAGGATTTTAATGCATAGAAAATATATATAAGCCTTTTAGAGACACAAAAAATCCTGTCAGTCTTGTGCTAGATGTATGGACGTCACAGTGACTGGAAAAGAGGATACCTCATTTTTTCCTTCTTGAAGTTTCTTTGTCCTTTTAGTCCTTGGTGTGATATTTACAGAAGTGCTTTCTTAAAGCATTTTGTCTCCAACTTGGGCAAACTCTGAGTGGCTTGTGACAGTGGTGAGAGGAATAACGCATAACTTTGGTCTTACCTCGAGAGCTCTGAACTTAATGTGTTGTTGTAGCAACTGGTTTCTGAAAGCTTCCAACAGAATATCTTTTTTTAGCTGCTAAAAACTGTGTTATAAATTTGTGAAGACAGTTTGCTGCCATCCTTGTTTGCTAGTTTTGCTGTTGAGACCTTTTGTACGCGGTGGCTTTTGTATCCATAGCAGCAGTGGCAGAGCCCAGGGGTGTTCTGCTCACCAGTGCATCCCCCTCTGAGCTCCTCAAAGTGATTTTCCTCGTGCTCTTTGTGACTGGCACTGACTACGTTTCTTGTTTGCTCCTGAAGGAAGTGCCCCTGGGAAAAAAAAACCAACTCCTTCACGTTGCAGGAGGTGGCTTAGCAGGAAGCTGAAGGGAGCCTTCGGTCTGAACGTGGAATTGAAGCTGTGGTTTCCAGTCAAATAAGTGCTGCTGCGTTGCAGGGGGTAGCGTGTACTTGTGAGAAATCCTAACAATTTGTTAGAGATCCCAAAAGTAGTTCTTAGTGGAGCAAAGACAGTGTGGCAGGTGCCTTGAACATGCTAGTTAGGTGTCTCAGTGTCGTTCCAGTTGTCCGAGAGAGACCTTTTCGTCCGAAGGTGCTGGAGCAGCTGCCTGGGGATGCTCTCCTGGACGGCTGGCTCCCCGCAGGCGCGGGGTTTCAGTGGAGGTGAGCAGTCCTTGCCTGCTGGGGCTCTGCGTCCTCTGCGCGTGGGATGCAGAACTTCTTCCACAAAAAAGCTCTGCTCTGAGTTTGTGGAATACATGTTTACTGAGGTGAGTCGAGCCCCAGGATGCCTCGTTCACGGGATACGAGGGAGCTGTCTGGTTCTGATCGCAGCTCATCAGCTGCTGCGGTACCAAGATATCCTGCACAAGGGTTGTCTTCACAGTTAATCAGATAAAATGCTCTAAACCACAATCCTACTTGACCCACGTAAAATGTGAAATCTATTCCTAAACCCCAGTGTTCATCATGCTTTTCTGAAGCTCAGTATAAGCATAAACCACTGCAGTGTATCTCGGGTGGAGAGGCTATATCAAGCTAGCCGTGCTTGGAGATTATATGCAGATTAGCTTTTTAATTTGTTGCTTCTGGGAGGGGTGGGAAAAGGTTGCCTGTCATTTGGAGCACCTACATTTTGTTGTGCTGATTCTGTAGGACAGATTCTAGGTAGATTCTGGACCTGTGCTGAAGCTGATTGTTGTATCTGGAAAGAAGAATGTGTTTCTGTAATATAAACATCTGGATGCTTGTAAGCTGAGCTCAGCAATAGCTGAGCACTACCATCGTCATTAAAGCACTACCATCTGTGCAGAGTAAGAAGAGCCTTTCTTGAAGCATAAAGGAAAAAAGCCTTAATGGAAAAAACAGAGCCATTCATGAAAAGCCTTCCATTTCAGAGTAAATCATGCTTGCTCCTAGCTAGAGGGACTGCAAATCCTTCCTTAATGCCTCCATAACCATGCAGATGATTAGTTACTGCTTCTGTAATGACTCGCTTTAAAACAAATTTTATGCTGCCTATGCATTGCATCTAGGGAAGCGAATGTACGTTTGGCTCAGTCCTTTCATCACCCGCATGAAAAACCCCCACTCTGAAACTTCAAGGGAAATGGCTTGGGTGGAGCCTTTTATTTTAGCTCTCTCCTGGTACTTATTTCTTTGATATCGTAACTCCATGAAGTTTATATTTGAGAGCGTTTTCCTGAAGTCTTTCTAGTGTGGTGCTCATACATCTGAATCGATTCGGTTGACTTTGCAGTTAATCCAGTGCTCCAGAATCCCAGTGACCTCGCACACGCTTCATCTCCTGAAATTTGCACTGTAGTGCATCACCATAAGGATGAATGAAACAAATCTGTGGTGAAGCTTTCAGAGCTGAAGTTCAGTTTAGTCAGTCGCAGTCATTCCTGCATTTAGAACTGTCAATGTTGTTAATTAAATTCAGCGTCAAGGTGTGTGGTCTCTAGCACTCACAGTAAAGGTTTTGGGGATGGGATTTGCAGCGGGAGGAAGCCTCATCCTTCTCTGAGCAGGTCGATGGTGTTTGTGGGACTGGACTTCACACTGGAAGGTGGAGAAAAGAGGAGGAATTCATCAGAATTGGGCAATATTGGAAAGAGTTGACTCTTACTGCTCTCTGTCCCTTCTCTGGAAAACAAGTTAAAATGGAATTATCTCCACTGTAATGATTTATTCTAGTTGGTTGGTTTTGGTTTTTTTGTTTTTTTTTTTTTTTTTTTTTTTTTTATCCCCCCCTGCTTCTGTTGTTGGCAGTGGCTGTCAGTAGTACAGGGAAGGAGTGAACTAGCAAGTATTTTCTATGTCTTGTGCTCTTTTATACTTGTGAATTAAAAACTGCACAGACCAGCTGTTCTCTGGGAAGCACTCATTAAGAGGTTTTTTTTTTTTATTCCCTTGTGGTTTTTTTTTTTCTAGGAAACTACTTTGCAAGTCACTTCTTTATGGGAGGCGAGAAGTTTGACACCCCTCACCCCGAGGGCTACCTTTTTGGCGAGAACATGGATCTAAACTTCCTTGGGAATAGACCTGTTCAGGCAAGTTCCTATCTGCTGTCTATTTTACCCTTTTGTTTTCTGCCTGTTTTGGAAAATCTTGTGTAGAGGAGGATAGCACAGACCTAAGAGACCCTCGCTACTTGGGGAGCGTCATTCCAGTCTGAGGTGCAAGAGCATTCCCTCACACCAAGTCCCAGCTTGCTGGCTGCCATAGCTGTTCAGATGCAAGCAGAGTTTTTCTAAGAAGCAGTATTCACCTTCTAGGCTTATTTTCACTTAGGGCAGAAGAAAGAAGTAATGGGGGAAGAAGGACAGGGACTCAGGAGCACAGATTTTGGGACTAATTCTGATTGCCTGCCTGAGCAAGTGTAAAACATGTTGCAGAGAGGAGAAGGCTGGGAAGCAGATCCACTCTCAGAGTCTGAACTTCGCAGGCCTCCTGGGCACGTTGGATGGATGCCAGCCAGTGTTCAACATGTGCTGTTCTCTGTGTAAACGAGTGGCCTGACTGGGCGTAGGGCAGTGTTAAGCCAGATCCCGATATTTGGTGATTTTTGTTTGCTTTGCAACCTAGGCGAGCTGCTCAGAAAGTCTCTTTAGTTTTCCCAGTTGGAACGTGGAGGCATTTCTGGGCTCACAGGTGTCTTATGAGGCAGTGAAAAGCTACCTGCTCGAGCCATTGGCTTGTTCTTTTGTTGTGAACAGGGAATAGCACTGTTGTGAGGGACAGACAGGAATTTTATGCAAGTGTTATGTTTTGGATTTCTCTTGCCTCTCGGAACTGCTTAAACAGAACCAAAAGGTAACAGAGTAGGAGCCATTGGGAGATGTTTTCGGAGTGCTGGAGAGGAAAGAGAAAAGAGCTGCTTGCTTTCCCAGCTATTTTCCTAGTTGTTTCTGCAGCTTCAAAACATGAAAATGAAAAATTGATGTGATGGTTCTCATCTCCAGAAAAGCTGTGACTATTAGTTAATTCATGCTTGTAGTGCTCGGAGACAGTTCAGTATCACCTCTGTTTTACAGATGGGGGAAACTGAGGCAAGATGACTCGATGTTTGAATTGGACCAGTGACAAGCACATTCTGCTTTCCAAGTTGTCCTCAGGCTGTGCTATTGGTCTTCTCAGCACCACAGTTAGTTAGCAGGACTTTGCAGGGTAGGACAAGGGAGAATCCGGAAAGCCCTTGTTCAAGCAGAAAGTGCAGATGAGCAACAGAATTAGGAAGGAGGGACTTGAGATGGAAATTGTTCTGGACATAACGGTGCTATGCAGGCATGGGGATGCTCACCACATACCCTACGCCATGTCTGCATACAGGGCCCGTGCAGGACAGTGGTTAAAAGCTGACCGCTTCTCCTTCGCTCTGTGACTAGCAGCTGCACAGCGCTCCAAGAAAAGCAGAAGACGCAGCTGTGCCTATGGCTGTGAGGACTAGCCTTGCAGAGTTAAATTGCCTGCATGTCTCAGCCTGGGTTTCCTTGCAGACATCCCAGCACTGAATTTCATCATTTCTTCAGAGGGGAGTGGGTGAGAATGCTATTAACACAGTAGGATGTTTGCCAAATAGGTTTAAGAGAGGGAGGCTGTTGTGGTATATAGTTTGCCTATGTAAAGTTAATGCCCTTTGGCAGCTCTGATTAATCTTCAAGGAAAAAAACCACTTGAACACAGAGCAGCAAAACTGCTTTCTGGACGTGGGCCAAGTTTTCGCTCTGGAGTAACCGAGATCTTGACTGGTCTGTGTAGAGCAGTGCTACCAGCTGCGGCACTGAGCAGTCAGGGTGCAAGGAAAGTAGTTGCTGCTGCCCCATGAATTCTCTGCTGCCTGTGGCTGTGGCACGAGGTCTTCCATGGCGTCCTCGTGTCTGTCGGGAAAGAGCACGTTTTCCCTGAGGCTCTGGCTATTGCCCCAGCAATACATTTCTGTGGCCTGAAAGGACAACACTGAAGGGTTGTGTCCTGGAGCTGGCCTGAAGTTCAGCTGTAGCAGCATTTGGCTGCCTGTTTAGCAGACTCCTCGTTTCTAAGGAAGCATGTATATTGGTGGTCCCTGGTACTTCTGCTCCGTGTCACTCGTCACTCTACACCACTGCAGGGCACCTAGTAGATGTGTTTGAAGGACCCCCAACTCTAATGAGGCTGCATGGTGGCACTGTTGCTGGATACATTCAGAGTAACCTTCTGCCCGAAAGCCTGTCCGGTAGCTCTGTACCTTTGTGTTGTGCCGTTGCTCCAACTTGGAGCACGGCTGTATCTCCAATCTGAGCACCTATTGAACTTGGCAGTTGTGTGAGTGGATGTTTCAGCTTCAGACTTCGCCGAGCAGGTGGGAGATCCTGCAGGCAGGTCTGCAGCTGTACAGCTTGTGGTCACCACAGTAAGCAGTTTCCTTTGCATTTCTCGCTGGAGATTCTGTGACCAGTAAGGAGAATTACAGTCTGAAGCATTATCATCCTTTATTTAAAGGACAATCTGTGAGAGAAGGTCTCTTGACTGTAGAATAGAATGAGGCCCCGTCTCCCTGTCTCTTTTCTTTACCAGAACATTTGCCCCATTGTTTCAGAATAAAGAGTTTCCCCCAGTAATCCAGGACTTCGGCATGCTGATTAGCAGTCAAGTCACTGTTTGCATGTTGTAACACACATGAAAGAGCTGCATTTCTTCTGCTCAAGCTGGAGGTGGTTTCTTTAGTGGAAATAAAAGCTTGTGAGAGCAAGGCTTTCCAAACTGAGAATTCAGGGTGCAGAAAAAGAGCCTGTGAAAATGCCCGTTCTTAAAGTGCGTACTCCCAATATGCGTTATTGCTGGCCCAGAGCAGGATTTTCACCCTGAAGCATGCTTGATTTATCTGTAAATAGAATTGTCTATTGCTGTCCCTTGTGGCTGTTGTACCGAGTACCCTTAAAGGTAGATGTTTCTTGGTTTGGGTAAATTGTATGCCAGGTAACATGCTGCTACCTTTCGCAGTATAATAATAGGAGAATTCTTTGCCTTTCTGTTCCAGTTTCCCTATGTAACTCCAGCTCCACATGAGCCAGTGAAGACACTGAGAAGCTTGGTGAATATCCGCAAAGACTCTCTCCGACTTGTGAGGTACCGTTATTGCCTGAACCTTTCGTTTTATTCAACCCAGCGATCTGTCCTCTAGAGCCAAACTGTATTTGATAAGGTTTTGGAGAAACAGCTGAATTCCACATCCTTGTTGCTAGATATGCCCAGAGGTTTCTGTGTTCCCTTGTGATCAGAACTTTCAGGTGGTTTATATGCTCCTTGTCCCTAGACTTGAGCAATCTTTGTTTCCAAAGAGGACCAGCAATGTATCTCTCTCTACAGGACAGACTAGGGTGGTAAACAAACCCATGAAATCATTAGCATGAACAGAAGATATTAGTCAGGTCAATAAACCCTACAGACAGATTTCTTTCTGGCTTCTTGTGCAAGGCGAAGCCAGAAAGTGGCTGATTCTGGTGCAAGTCACAGGCTAGGAAGACTCATTGGTCTTGAGTGAAACTTCCTCAGGTTTCTCCTGCTGCCAAAATAAAGTTTGGTCCTAGTGTTATGCATTCGTTTAGACGGCTTGTGTCCCGTGCGGAGGGGAAGGAGGTCTGGATAGTCATGGAGATCTGTTACCTTTCGCTGCTCTACACTATCTAAACCAGCACTAGCTGGATCAAACGCAATGGCTAACACTGCGACCTGCGGCTGCCTTCTTTCAAAGAGATGGCTGAAGTGCAGAGGCCCAGCATACAGTGCTTTGTTTTGGTCTGAGCGACTGGGCAGATGTCCAGGCAGAGCATTTCTCAAAGATCCTTGAGTCGCTCTGAATTCTGCGTTTCAGGCGCAGGGCTGGAGTACTGGCAGGGGGCCAGCTTCAGCTCTCAGCCAAGGTGGCTCTGGGAGCATGGCGTAACATCAGGAATTTGAGTCATAACCACACAAACCCCTTCGTTTGTGTGAAAACTGAAGGTTAGTTGTTTTGTTTTGTTTTTTAAATGAGCAATACCTGTGCTATCAAAACTGATTGAACAGGAAAAGAGGGAAGAACTTCTGACAAAGTAACCATTGGTAAACTGCTCTGAATGCTGTCTAGCTTTTTCAGCTAAAGGGTGAAGTACTTCTCTAGGAAAAAGTCTTGCTTTCCTCCCACACTTGCTGCGGAAAGCGTATTTTGTTATCCTTGCAGGCATCCACATTAAACAGTGTAACATCTCTCAGAAGCCAAATGGGAAGTAGTTTTTTCACTGGAAGAGGCCTTGCTGTGAATGGAGAAGTTGGTGGGGTTTAGTACGTACAGTTCTGTCATTCTGCTTTCTGTGATTGCACGTCCTGTCCCCACAAGCAGAGTTGCAGCTCTGGACTATATGAAATGTAGTGTCCGTGCACCTTGGCAGTGTCTAGGTTTGCATCCATCTAATTCCTGGTACTATCGATTCTTTCTCTGCCTCATGAGCTCTCACAGGCTCTTGTGCTGCTGCAGCTGTGTTAGTGCTGACGACAACACCGCCAACATTACTCTATTTAATTTTGTACCGATGTAGACCCAAAATGAGATTTTAATTGCCAGTCCCCAGGGGCACATTCTGTCTTATGCTTTTCTACTGTTCTGGACTAGAGGCTTTTCCTTTCTCCCTCTGTGCACGGAAAGACGCTTTGTGCCCTCTCCAGCTTGGCTTGTTTGCAACCAGTGGTTCAGGCTTGCACATTCTTTCCAGAACTAGTTAAGTTTAATTTACTACCTCCTCCTCCAAATAAAATGATGCTGAGCCAAGTGTCTAGGTGTAAAGCAGGTCCCGATGGTAAAGTCCTCACAAAATTTTTGTTTTCCTTGTGTTTAATTGAAAATTCATTGTTCACCTGTGAAAAGGGTGTTGATCCATAATTTGGAGTGTAGGGCTTTATGGAGGAATATGAGGAAATGTCCACTCTGGGCTTCCTGCCTGGCTCTGACCAGACAAAATTCTCAGCTTTGCCAAATTCTGAATATCTACAGCAGCTTTGGAGAGAAGCAATAAACCTGTGGATATTGGTGTTGAAGTTTTGAGTCTTCGACGCCTCGTGCTTGATTTTCTAGCAGGATGAGACTCTGTGAACCTCAGAGGAGGGTAGCGTGAGTTTTGCTGTTAACCACTAACAGAAAAAGACTGCTTTGCGTCTCTCTTTTGGCCCTGGATTGGAAGCTTTATTTCAGAGCTGAAGTACTTGATAGGCTGGTACTGGCTGTTTACTCCTACCTTGAAAGCACTTCCAGTTGCAGGAGGAAGATCAACTCATGAAGCAATGTGTTTCATGGAAGAGTTGCATCCTGGGACAGCCTCTCTGCTTCAGCATGGGCTTTGGGCTTCGGATAGCATCGTGGAACAAAAGTGCTGAAGGAATCAGCAACTATAGTGGTTTGGGAATGTGTCTGAAGCAGCAGCAGTATCAGGGACAGTAGTGAGACCACCAAGCATTTTGGATAAGGGCCTGAGAGAGAGGCGGATGATAGGGACCGAGGGGAGACAGGTGAGTTGCTGTGAGTGAGAGAAGGGAAATCCCTTCTCTTCCCTCTCCAGCACAGCGGGGCCAACCTTGATGCTTGGAGCTGTTCATCCCACGGTGGAGGTGGTGATGGTGAGGGTGCTGGGACTGCTGGCTCTGCAGCCCTGGATAGCGTTACACTGTGTACAGATCTCTGCAGAACCCCCAAACAGGAAAGCCTCCATTTGATGATGATCTCCCCCCATGAAAGTCAATGCTGATAGAGATGTCACCTAGTTCTTACTTCATTTAATACTGGCTCTAACACTGTTGTAATGCATATCTCTCAATACTAAGTCAAGCAATACATAGCATTTATCCTGCATGTCTACTAAGTTGTTGCTCAAATTTTTTAATCTCTGCAAAGGATGAAATCGGGTTCAACTCGACCTATTTCTATAAAATTGTCATGGCTGCTGTTAATTGTATTTTTATATTTTAATTCTTTAACAGACAACCAAAAAGTTCCAGCATTTCCATTGTTTTATCCAGAAGTGATGTCAGACCAGGTGGCCTCAGCTCCCTTGGTCATTCTGCTTTGCCTTTTTCATCATAACGTTGGACCAGCTATTTGTCCTCAAAGGTGGTCAGTCTCTTCTGCTCTATACACGTGACTGTGAAGGCTGTGTAATTAACCTGCGTGCATGACCAAAAGGCACACCTAGCAAAGTCACTGGTTTCTAAATTCACGCATGCATCTGTGGCCACCTCACATCAACACTGTCCGTAGGGCTTGACTAAATGTACACTGTAAGCTTCAAGTGCAGGTGGAGACAGAAGAGCTCTTGAACCGTCTGAACCACCTCCTGTTCTGCCATGTCCCTTGCAAAGAAAGAAGGAATGCAAAATGTGTGACTGGGTCTTGTTACTCCCCTGAAGTTACAGCCCACCGTTCCTGCACCTTAAGGTGGAACATGAGATGTCTCTGCCTCTCAAAGTATGCACCAAAGTAGTCCTTGCTTATTCCTTGGTCCAGCTACCCGCTGGCATAGCTGCTTTTGCAGTCTTTTCTCACTTGAACTCCTTGCTATGTAGCAGATGATTTTCTTAACCTCCAGCACCAGGCATGTCGCAACAGGAAGATGTGTACACAGCCTTGCTGTGACTGTCACCGTTGAGGCACGTATACCTTGCCCCCTGCTCGAGTGATGCCGTTCTGGGCAGACGGGGCTCTGACTCTCCTACTTCCCAGCAGATGCATCCTCCAGAAACCTCTCCAGGCACCGCAGTTGGTAGTGGCCCCTCAGTGGTTTCCCAGGGCAACAGATGTATTCTAGTCTAGGTTTATCCCCTTTTCTTCTTGAAAGGATGGAAGCACGTTGTGAGTGCTGGCAGGGAGGTGCAGAGGTGAAGTTGGGAGCAGGAGGGTGATCTGGGAACCCGTATGCTTTTTGTGACTTCACTGAGAAGACAAAACAGGCAATGGTTTTAACTAATGACGTGTTGCTTTTGTGTGATCTGCCCTCACTCCCAGGTCTCCCACCTTGCTACCTGGGGCTGTTAGAGGCGTCTAGGTCTGTGCTGTCGATTTGTAACTCATGCACGTGCCGGGCATCTCTATTTTAATACCTACCTGTTTATGCAGCAGGTATAGGTCTATGAAGTAGCTTTCACCCATGCTTGCCTGAAAGGGGTGCTGGTTCTCCCCCACCCTACTTCTTCTGGAAGAAGTGACAAGCGTATCGTAGCCTGGATCCTTCCCTGCCAGCCTCGGATCAATGGAGGGCAGCGGAGCAAGAGATAATTTGCAGAAGCTTGTGGTGCTGCTTTCTTGAACACACACATTTGTGAGCGGGTTGTTGCCATCTATGTTCTTGGGTCAGTCCAGCACAAAATGTTGATGCTACCCCTGTGTTTTCTAGGCAAACCTGCCCTACTGGCTAGAGTGTTTCTTGTTTACAGTCTTTAAGTGTCATGATTTTATTCTTTGAATGCAGCTAGCTTGTGTGAAAATACCATCTTGCTCTATGCTGTATATTGTATCCAGGCTGCTGCAAATGTTCAGACTCTCAGTTCTCGGGATTTGCCTTTTTTATTCTAGCTTGATTTGCTCTTCTGACCTAGGTGAACCTCTTGCAAAAGTCTTGTTTGGAGTTCTCCAAGTCCTTCAGACAGGAACGCAAGTGTATACTATAGTGATTCACTAGGGTTACATTAGTACAAGTATGTGTGTTAGGTATTTGATTATACTGCTTTTAAATTCTGTTTTGCGCCGTCTGTATTAAATTGCCGAAGATGAACATGTCATTCTTGTTCAGTGTGGTGTTAAGTAAAATTCATGCTGGAACCCTCTTAATTAAGCAGCAGTTATTACGTCTCAGTGAACTCGGTAAATAAGGATTCCTTTGACAATTTTTAGATTGAATTATGGAGGTATGCCTAGCCCATTTCTGAGTATTTTCAACAGTGCAGCACATTCATCAAGGCTGTTCAATGAAGGGAGAGGGCGACTGATACTGTGAAGTCAGAGACAGTGCCAAGCTTTTCCTGAATAGTTTAGCTGCTTGGCTTTGACCCAGGCGTTGTGGCAATTAAGGTAATACTGATAGAAAAGTGAGGCTGGAGCTGGGCGGCAAATCAAGTAGTGTTGTACACCTCTGAAAGGCAACCTGCTGCATTCACCATTCCTACACGGTGCGTGAACTAACGGTGGTACCTACAGTCGTAGGATTACAGTGGGATTTGAATTTATGTATGAGAATCTGCTTCTGCAAATCAAGCAAATCACGTCCATTCTGTCTGTCGCTTTGTGCTTCAAGGCAGGGGAGATCTTCTCATGGTGTGCTGTGTTGTGCAAATCAAGTAGTGTTGTACACCTCTGAAAGGCAACCTGCTGCATTCACCATTCCTACACGGTGCGTGAACTAACGGTGGTACCTACAGTCGTAGGATTACAGTGGGATTTGAATTTATGTATGAGAATCTGCTTCTGCAAATCACGTCCATTCTGTCTGTCGCTTTGTGCTTCAAGGCAGGGGAGATCTTCTCATGGTGTGTTGTGTTGGCTTCTTGTTCCAGGATCTGCTGGTCTCCCTAGCCACTCCTGGCACGCCATAACTTACTGCTCATCCATGGCCATAGCTCACTGCCCTGGCGCTTGCTTCATACCACCTTCTTCCCCGCGTTTGTTACCTGCCTTTTCCAGCAGTAGGGAGAAGGAGTAGTACTGGGCAGTGGTGATCACACAGTGGGATCCAGCTGTATAGTAGCCCATAGCCAAGTTATAACTCCCCTTTATGTTAATTGAAATAACTTCCAAACTCGTTCTTGTATTGGTTATCATGCATCTGTTATGCAGTTGAACGTGTTAATTTTTGTACGTACAATAAATGTGTGCAAGCTTCAGTCATTAGCAGCGTCAAAGGTTTAGCTGATGATTTGTACATTTAAAGGTATTTGAAGTTCCTATATTTGGATGCTTTCTGATCTGAATATCATAATCTGTGTGATACTGGAGGTACTTCTTGTTGAGCTTCAGGAGTTCTTTGTGTTACAGAAACCTTGTTTTTTGCCTGTCATGCACCACTTCATTTGCAGAGTTAAAAGAATTAGGCTCTAGACTTCTCAGGCCCATGCAGGATTTCTTTAGCCCAAATACTGAGCCTAATTTAAAAGGAGGGAGAATGTTTCTTCTCCTAAGGGTTTGACATTGAGTTCACTTTCTTGTCTCGTTCTGCGTCCTGGCACTGTAAGGCTGGGCGAGATCCTTCAACACCGTCTACATAATTCACTTTAATAACTTCAGTCAAATCTTGGAAGAACCTTCCTCTGAGGAAAGAATGGGCATCTCCTGGGAAGCCCCAGGTGGAAACCCATGGTGCCTTGACTGCCCAGAACACCTAGATTGGAGGACTCTTGTCCTGATTTCCAGAGGGATCTTGATATCTCATAAATGTACGTTCTAATCCTCCGGCATTGTCTTTCAGGTATAAAGATGATGTTGACAGTCCTACTGAGGAGAATGGGAAGCAGAAAGTCCTGTACAGCCTGGAGTTCACGTTTGATGCGGATGCCCGTGTTGCCATCACAATCTATTGCCAGGCTACGGAAGAGTTTGTTGGTGGCATGGCAGTGTAAGTCCTGGGCTTGCGGGCGTGTGGAGGGGCGCAGGAGCTCTCATGTGATGAGCCTGTAACATCTCTCATTAATCACCCCCAAGGGCAGTGCTGCTACAGATGGAGATGGAGAGGATGGAGAGGGAAATCTCTTCTTTTTCTGTTTTGTTTTATATATTCTGATAGCTTCGAATATTACTTTCACTTCCCTCCCCCACATAGCCAATATCCTCTCTTGTTCCCTTTTTGGTTTGTTTTTTGGGTGTGGGGAAACCATTGTGTGCAACAAAGCAGAGGAACTCACAGCTTTGTCAACAAGAAGTTCTATGAAGTTAAAAAAACCAACCACCCTTCCCTTCATATACTACCTGTTTTTTTTCCAGATCACCTAACTCACTGGATTTCTATGTTCCCTGTGATGGGAGCATCTGGGCCACCAAAGTAAAGTTCAGTCTGACATTGACATAGCGAGTCTGTGGAACTGAGGCCCACCCAAAGCCCCTTTTGGGATAAATGACCGCCTCAACACAGGCTGTTGCGAGATGGCTATCAGGAGGATTTACTGCCTGAAACCCTGCCTGTGCGTTTCCTGCCGGGTACACATATTAGCCTTTGGTTAGCTGTGGAAAGAATGGTCAAAACATCATCCGTGGAGTCTTTCTCATATCCTGGTAGAGCATCCCTACAGATTTCAAACCCTTTCTATCTAAATGGGCACGTTTAAACCATTCCAATCAACACTGTATCCCATAAGACTACGAAAAATTTCCTCTCTGTTAAGAGCTGAGGTGGCTGAAATGTGCTCTCCCTGGTGTGAATTGGGTACCCGTGAGCTGCTGGTATATTATGGCAGGCTTCCGATGGCCATGGGACAAAGAATTCTTTTTGTTCTATGGGTAAAGGAAGATTCAGGCTGCAGAAGCTCTTGGCTTCCTCTAGTAGAGGCTTTTGGCTGATCAGCGGCTCTGTGCACGTAGTGCTGACGGCTTCTGCAGTGGTGCTCTGGATTTGGGGGTAAATTTACGTTTTATTGAAGGGATCTGCAGAGGTTTCAGCAGGGAGAAATATGCATGATAAACCATAAAATGGCTTATGTGTTTTATGCAAAGTATAAACGTCCCCCTAATGTATCCATGAATAGCGTATTTTTAGAAATGAGACAAGCTCAATGCTTCCATCCAGATGTGCATTCCTCCAAACTGGAGGATATCCTAATCCAGAATTTTTGTTTAGGCCCCTTCTCTTCTGTTGAAGCCTATGGCTGCCTTTATTTTGGGGAGGTAATAAATTAGCTCCTTTTAAGTGCTTGAAAAATATCTCTCGACAAACTCTGAAAACGCTTTCTATTTAGATCCCGTTTTTCCTGAGCAGAGCTGAATGCAGCAGGACTCCTTAGAAATCCTGATAAAGTTTCCGTGTTCTGTCTCTTAGGTCCTTAGGTTTCCTGTGAATTTAGTGCTAGTGAAGGTGTTGGAATGGCAGCCTTGGAGATTGAAGTCCTCTTTTCCTAATACAGGTACAACGTGGAGAGGTGGCCAGCGTCCCTGGTGCTGCCCTGCGGTGTTCCTTGTTTTTTGACCTCTGAAGGAAACCGTCTGTGGGCTGATGGGGAGAACTGAGGGCCTCTATGGCCAGGGTGGATGCATTTACATTGCCAGACTTCAGTCATGGCTTAAATCGGCAATTCTTGTTTTAAATCTTGATTTCAATCTTGGTTCGCATATTCTCTCACCTCGAAGGCGAATTTGTTTGTCACTGGTCAGTAACAAGGAAACATCTGCATTTACAACTCAGGGTGAGCTTCATATCGAACTTTGTGCTACTACGAAGAGCTTAAGTCTGTAAAGAGTATGCATATAGTTTAAAATGTATCTTTTCAGACTCCTAGTTTTGCATTTTGTTATGTCAAAATGGCAAAAAAGAAAGCTATTCTAAAAAGAAAAGATACTTTTTTTTTTTAACCTGTGTCTTGAACCAAGCTGTGTTGGGATGGAAGTGCAGCTGAATCACCCGAGACCAGCAGCGTAGCATTCTCGTTGGTTGAACTGCTCTATGTTGGACTCATAAGAGGCTGTCTTGTCAAGTTGTGCCTTGAATCATAATTGCTTAATGGAAGTATTACAGTTACTGAATATAACTATTTCTGGACAGAGTGTGTTTTCAGGCTTCTGTAACTAGTAGCTCTCCTCTCAGAACTCTGTTGGTTGATTGGAGGAGGAAAACACAGTTTCTGGTTCACTTAAGAACACGTTTTACTGAAATTTAGTGCCATGCACTAAGCCAGTGACTGGTACCAGTGCTGTTGTCTGTTCTTTAAAGCTTATGCAGCAAACGTGAACTACCTAATCGCTTTTTAAATTTAATTTGAACAATTCCTAGGTAGAGTTTCTGAAAGTTAACACAACTGTCAACTTCAAAGAAAGAAATATATTTTTTTAAAAATATGAATTTTTTAATCCACCCTGTCCATGGTTCACTGAGAGACGGATCTGTGTTCAGATGGAGGAGGAGAAGCCTTTGTTCACGAACCCTACCTGCCTCTGCACGAAACCAGGATCAGTAGTCAGCAGTCATTATCTCGCTAACGAAATGTAGCTGACGATACTGTGCTGCGCAGTCCTCAGCATGCTAAACCTTTACGTCAAAAGTCAAAGCGCTTGGATTCAGCTCTTGCTTCCACTGCTGGTCTTTTATTTAATAAATCATACTTTAATTTCCCCATAGTATAGGAGTGATGAACTGTCTGTCTCTGCTCTGGAGTTCTTGGACAATAAAATTTATGTAAGCGTGGGGTGTGGGGGGCTGCACAAGAAGCCAGGGAACCTTTTGGAAGGCATGATCCTGATTTCATGCAGATGTGTAGGTAATAAGGGCTGGGGGAAGTGAGATACAAATATAGATTTTACAAGCTGCTTTAATTCAACCCAGGCTATTTTCCATGTGGAAGTGGCTCATGAAGCACGTCTTGGGGCTAGTGCAGCTGCCCGAAGTAGGCATCTCTGCTTCTCTGAATTTGCTGGCTGGTAGTAAAAACCTTTTGAAGCTCTGATTTCAGCTTTGCAAAGCAATTCTGAAAGGGCAGTGCTATAATTACTTTGATTTACTCTTTTCAAATTCTAGTGGAAAAAAAAAAAATCCGGGCTGCATTCTTAGAGCTCTAAGCGGAGCGAGTGCATTTTTAGTGCACTAATAGGAATGCAGCTTCCCCCTGCCTGGGCTGGTAGTTTTTCCTTTTTTCTCAATTTCTTTTGGTGCTGACAGCTACATTCAAGGAACAAGCATGTGCAAAAGCTGCACCGTGTATAAATGCAAAACTTCTTCTATCCAGCTTGTGTCCAGCACTTGATTGGGAAGAAGATGCTCTTTAAAACAAAACACTTTTTTTTTTTTTTTCCACTCTCCTAAATTGATGCTAAATCCTAAAATAGGAGAAAATTTCTGCTTTTGACAAGAGTCCAGAAAGTTGCTCCTATTTTAGGATTTAGCATCAATTTAGGAGAGTGGAAAAAAAAAAAAAAAGCTTTTTTTTTTTTTTTCCACTCTCCTAAATTGATGCTAAATCCTAAAATAGGAGAAAATTTCTGCTTTTGACAAGAGTCCAGAAAGTTGCTCCTATTTTAGGATTTAGCATCAATTTAGGAGAGTGGAAAAAAAAAAAAAAAGCTTTTTTTTTTTTTTTCCACTCTCCTAAATTGATGCTAAATCCTAAAATAGGAGAAACTTTCTGGACTCTTGTCAAAAGCAGAAATTTTCTCCTAGTCCCCAGCCTGCAGCATGGCTCCTTAGAAGCGCTAAACAAGTTATTCTTGCTTCTCTGCTGAAACAACCACTGATCCTGATAGTATCAGCCCTCCTGCTCGTGTGAAACTCCTGCTAGGAACGTTGTTATATTCATACAATTTGGGGTGAGAGGAGGGAGGGGAGGGAAGGTGGCTCTCCCTGAACAGAGGCATTGCTTGTTGTAGAGCCTCTGCTCATCTGAGAGCCACAACGCTCTGTGTCATGGGCCTGCCTTCAGGATTAGCTCGTCTCCGTGACCAAAGTGAAGCCTTTCTCTCTGCAAGCCAGGGAGCTTCCTCCTGGAGTTTTTTGGGCTGCGTTTAAAAGCTTGGTGGCTTTATCTGTATGAGCTGCCTGTCCTAACCTGTCTCAAAGGAGCGTTCAACCGACTTTCCCAGCTAATCGTGCTGGGAGATATGCTCAGCTATACCATTTCCCAGCCAAGATCTTGGGAACATGTAGCTCCCAACTGCTGCCTGCCTCTTGTTGAACTCTGAGTTTCACAGGGAGCTGTATCGTCACCGCGGTGGGACCGCAGTTGACCGGTAAAGTCTGGAGAAGGCGAATGTGTGGCTGTTGGTGATCGTAGAGGTGTCTTCATCTCTGCAGCCCCGTGCCCGGGGGAAGATACCCAGTACTGTCTGGTGCTAGTGCAGATATCTCTTGGATGAAATGGGAATTAGTTTAAATCTAGAGCGGACTGCTGCTCTCACCTTCTAAATGTCTTTTGCCCGGTTACTTTGTGGTGAGCCTAAAGACTCTTTAGACTAAAACACATGAGCTCTCAGAGGACCAGCTGGTGCATTACCCCAGGGGTAACAGAGACCAGATCTGCCTATGTCCAGAGTTTCTTTAATGGCATGGAATTAGCAGTGATCTGCTTCTGAACAGCTCAAGACCCCCGATATCCTCAGTTTTATTTATTTTTCTGGTTGTGTCCATTTTCTTTGGTTTGGGAAATCAGCGAACTGTTCCTCTGTGCTTCTGTTTCCTCTGGCAGTCCCTCCAGTGAGCTTTAGCACAGCGTCTTCCCTGAGGATCCACTCTCATCTTTGGTTAGTGGTGGATGTGCTCTTGGGGAGTTGGTCTGTGATCTGGCTGGCTTGGAGAGAGTGATATTTCTCAGTTTGTCCTTTCCTTTGGCTTCAGTTTCCTGGCAGCTGGGTAGAAAGCAGGGGATGCCCTGGTTGGGGAAACCATCATAACAGCTTGACTGCTTACCCGTGAGGACAAGCTTT